ACGTCCGCGGACAAGCTCTCCTCCCGCGCCATTCCCTGCGTCTTCCTTGGTGTTCCCCCTGACGCGCCTGACTGGCAGTTTTACCACCCCACCTCGCGCCGTGTCCTGCCCTCTCAGGACGTCACGTTCGACGAGTCGGTTCCCTTTTACCGTCTCTTCCCCTACCGCACTGCCCCCCTCCCCCCCCCCGCCGCTCTTCCTCGCACCAGGTCCTCCTCCGGTAGACACTGCTCCCTCAGGTGTGTCTCAAGTAGACCCTGTCGAGCCTGTCGAGGTCGCGGTCGACTCTGGTGCTGCTGCTGGGGGTGGTGCTGCTGGGGGTGCTGAGTTTGAGCGTGCGGAGCCTGGGGGTGCTGAGCCTGAGCGTGCGGAGCCTGGGGGTGCTGAGCCTGAGCGTGCGGAGCCTGGGGGTGCTGAGCCTGAGGTTGCTGAGTCTGAGGGTGCTGAGCCTGGGGGTGCTGAGCCTAGGGGTGCTGAGCCTGGGGGTGCTGAGCCTGCGGTTGCTGAGACTGGGGGTGCTGAGTCTGCCGGAGGTCCTACATTTGCCTCGTCACGGCGGGAGCCTCTCTCTCCACCGCAGCTGCGCGAGTGGTTTGCTCGGCGCTGGAGCCTTCGGAGCGGCGCTGCTGGAGCTGGGGGGCCTGCCGCTGGAGGTCCTGGCAGTGGAGGTAGTGGAGCTGGAGGTGCTGCCGACGTTGGAGCTGGAGCTGCTGGAGTTGCTGGAGCCACTGCTCCCAGAGGTGCTCCTACTGGAGGTACTGGAGCTGCTGGAGCTGGTGGTGCTGCGGGCGTTGGAGCCGGAGGTGCTGGAGCTGCTGGTCCTGGAGGTGCTGGAGGTGCTAGAGTCGCTGGTCCCGGAGGTGGTCGTACTGGAGGTACTTGAGCTGCTGGAGCTGGTGGTGCTGCAGGAGTTGGAGCCGGAGGTGCTGGAGCTGCTGATTCTGGAGGTGCTCGTATTGGAGGCACTGGAGCTGCTGGAGCTGGAGGTGCTGCTGGAGGTGCTGGAGCTGGTGGTACTGCAGGCGTTGGAGCTGGAGACCCTGGAGCTGGGGGTACTGGTGCTGTCGGTGCTGGTTCTGGAGGCACTGTGCGGCCGCGACCGTACTTCGTTCCACTGCTTCAGCAGGTTCATGGTCTCCCGCCTTCTACTGGCCCTACTCCTCCCTTACTGTGTCCACTGTCTGACCAGTCGCAGTCGCAGTTACAGCCAGCCTCCCCACTGCCTGCTCCTTCTCCTTACAGTGGGCCGATAGGAGGTCTTGCGGAGCGTCGTGAGCCTGAGTCTCGTCCTGCGTCGCCTGTTCGCGCTGTTCGCACTGGTCGTCGTGTTCCACGTCCGCGTCCTCCTCCAGTCCCAGGCACGCACCAGATGGCACTTCGTCCTTCCTCTGTTCCACAGCATGTCCCTCTGTCGTCTGCTCCTGCGTCCTCTCTTCTTGACGTTCCTGACCCGCCGTCAGACCTTGCTCGTGCTGCCAGTCCTACTGTCACGCATCTTCCAGCCACTGTTGTCACTGACCCTTCGTTTGAGTCCACTGCTGCGTCTGCCCTAGTTGCTGAGCTTGTTGACTTTGCTGCCGCCTGTCGCGTCGACTACGCCGCTAGTCTTGTTTCTGAGTCTGAGTCTGTCAGTCCTCCGTCCGTCGGGGGTGAGTGTGCTCTTGGCACGGACGTCCTTGAGGACAGGCAGGAGGACTTTGAGTGTTTTGCAGCTGCTGTACCTCATCTCGTGTCCATGCTGATTGCACCTGAGGGAGATCCGGATGCACCAGAAATCCCTCCTGAGGGCGATTGAGGGTCCCTACTCCTCTCAGTGGCAGACAGCAATGAACGCAGAGATGGCTTCCTGGAAGTCCACAGGCACCTACGTCGACGAGGTTCCCCCACCTGGGGCAAACATCGTCAGTGGCATGTGGATTTTCAGGGTGAAGCGGCCGCCGGGTTCTCCGCCTGTCTTCAAGGCGCGTTACGTTGCTCGAGGCTTCAGTCAGCGATAGGGAGTTGACTTCTTCCATACCTTCTCCCCTACCCCGAAGATGACCACTCTTCGGGTGCTGCTGCACGTCGCCGCTCAGCGTGACTACGAGCTTCACTCTCTTGACTTCAGCACAGTCTTCCCACAGGGCAGCCTGCACGAGGAGATCTGGTTGCGCCGCCCACCTGGCTTCACTGGGTCGTTTTCTGAAGGTACCCAGTGGAGCCTCCGGCGGCCAGTCTACGGTCTCCGTCTGGCGCCTCGCGAGTGGCACGACACACTGAGGACGACGCTTGCGGCTCTTGGGTTTGCTCCTTCGACTGCTGACCCGTCGCTGTTTCTACGCACCGACACTTCTCTGCCGCCGTTCTACATCCTCGTGTACGTAGACGACTTGGTCTTTGCCACTGCTGACATTGCTGGACTGGCCTTTGTGAAGTCGGAGCTGCAGAAGAGACACACGTGCACAGACGTGGGTGAGCTACGCAGCTATCTTGGCTTCCAGATCACTCGGGACAGAGCACAGCGCACCATTACCTTGACTCAGTCACACATGGTGCAGCAGCTCCTTCAGCGCTTCCGCTTCACGTACTCCTTGCTACAGTCCACTCCTCTGCCTACCGGTCACTCGCTCTCAGCTCTGCCTTCGGATGAGTCCGTAGAGCTGAGTGGCCCGTATCCAGAGCTTGTGGGCTGCCTCATGTACCTGATGACCTGCACTTGACCTGACCTTGCCTACCCTCTTAGCATCATGGCACGCTACGTTGCGCCCGGGAGATACCGACCAGAGCACTGGGAGGCCGCTAAGAGGGTGTTGCGCTACTTGTGCAGTACGTCGGGCATGGGGCTCGTGCTTGGAGGACGGGCTCGAGTTGTCCTCACTGGCCACGCAGACGCTTCTTGGGTTGACGACTTGGCTACGCAGCGGTCGTCACAGGGTTACACTTTCAGCCTTGGCTCCGTCTCTGTTTCGTGGCGGTCTACCCGCTCGTCTTCTGTTCTCAGTTCCAGTTGTGAGGCTGAGATCTACGCAGGGGCCATGGCTGCACAGGAGTTACGCTGGCTCACCTACCTGCTGACCGACTTGGGAGAGCCGCCTCGTTCTCCTCCAGTTCTGTACGTCGACAACAAGGCCATGATTGCCTTGTGTCAGGAGCACAGACTTGAGCACAGAACGAAGCACATTGCTCTGCGCTACTTCCTTGCTCGAGAGTTGCAGCAGCGTGGTCAGCTTCGTCTTGCTTACGTGGCCTCTCGGGCCAACACTGCTGATATCTTCACCAAGGCACTTCAGCCTTGTGATCATCAGCGTTTCTGTACTGTTCTAGGCCTTGTGCCTACTTGGTCTCACTTGCTCACTTCTTGACTTTGCTTGTACTATGATCTATATACATATACCTGCATGCTTACACTTGCTAGGTTGTGATCACTGTACTGCTTGTTCTCCTTTATATAACTCTGCATGTGAACTGGCCTTGTGGCCATTTGTCTGTGCTCAGTATGCGTGGTGACTTCGTGATCCACCCTGAGCTTGCTTTGCTTTTCTTGACCGGTCTTGTGACCTCTTGTTCTCCCCCACTTTGCCTATGGAGGTGTGTCAAACTTATATGCTGCTTATTGTGTAGGCTATAGTGGGGTAGCCCATATGGGGTACAACGCAATTAAGGTTTGCTACTTGTACCCATCTTGCTGCTAGTTCATTCATTCTCGTTCGTACTTCTGACATAGACATTATGGCGTCACACATACCACGCCAGAATGCATGCAATACCTTGCAGCCACCCTTGCATTCACCTTCACATTCACCCTTACCCTCATCCTCACGCATACACGCACTCACGCTTGGAATCATACTTGCACTCGCCTTCGCACTCACCACTGCAATCATACCCGCACCATCGCGCTCAGCCTCACACACACACACCTGCACTCACACTCGCATTCGCCCTCGCACTCGCACCAGCACTCTCACGTGCTCTCTCGAGCGCTCTCTCGCGTACACTCTCGCACGCGCTCTTACGTGCTCCCTCATGCACTCCCTCACGCGCTCTCTCACGCGCTCCCTCACGCGCTCCTTCACGCGCAAACTCACGCGCAAACTTGCGTGCTCGCTCGCGCGCTCCCTCGCACGAACTCTTGTGCACTCTCCCGCGCGCTCTTTCGCGCGCTCTCTCGTGCGCACTCTAGAACGCACTCTCACGCGTTCTCTTTCGCGCACTCTCACGCGCACTCTCACGCGCTCTCTCTCGCGCACTCTCACGCGCACTCTCACGCGCTCGAACGCGCGCACCCTCGCGCGAACTTTCGCGCACTCTCCCGCGCTCTCTCCCGCGCACTCTCACGCGCTCTCTCAAGCGCTCTCTCACGCTATCTTTCACGCTATCTCTCACGCGCACTCTCACACGCACTCTCATTCACGCGCTCCCTTGCGCGCTTTTTCTGGCACACTCTCGCACGCACTCTAGCGCGCACTCTAGCGCGCACTCTCGCGCGCTCTCTCTGGCGCGCTCTCACGCGCTCCATCACGCGCGCTCTCACGCGCTCTCACGCGCACCCTCCCGCGCTCCCTTGCGCGCACTCTCGCGCGCACTCTCGCGCGCACTCTTGCGCGCACTCTCACGCGCACTCTCACGCGCACTCTCACGCGCACTCTCACATGCTATCTCATGTGCAATCTCACGCGCTATCTCACGCGCTCTCTCACGCGCTCTCACACGCTCTCTCACGCGCTCTCACACGCTCTCTCACGCGCTCTCACACGCTCACTCACACGCTCATTCACGCTCACTCTCACGCGCTCTCTCCTGTGCGTGCGCTCCCGTGCACACGCTCTCCCTCGCGCTCCGCGTCTCTCCCTTTCTTCACGAAGAGAGCTACGCAAGAGGAGACCAATCGACACAAAAAAATTACGAAGAGAGCAAAAAAGATAAATTTCAGAGGGGGAAGGGAGGATCAAAGGACCGGGAACGCACCTAGTAACAATGATAACTCAGAAAACAACCCGTGCTCGTGCACCAACCCGCGCTCACGCACCAACAAGCGCTTGCGCTCGTGCACCTGTCGCCGGAGGCGACGGCGGGGAGGCGGCAGAGGCGACGGCGGGGAGGAGGGAGAGGCGACGGCGGGGAGGAGGAGTGGCGATGGCGGGGAAGGGAGAGGCGACGGCGGGGAGGAAGAGAGGCGACGGCGGGGAGGAGGAGAGGCGACCGCGGGGAGGAGGAGAGGCGACCGCGGGGAGGAGGAGAGGCGACGGCGGGGAGGAAGAGAGGCGACGGCGGGGAGGATGAGAGGCGACCGCGGGGAGGAGGAGAGGCGACGGCGGGGAGGAGGAGAGGCGACGGCGGGGAGGAGGGAGAGGCGACGGCGGGGAGGAGGGAGAGGCGACGGCGGGGAGGAGGGAGAGGCGGCGGCAGGGAGGAGGGAGAGGCGACGGCGGGGAGGAGGAGAGGCGACGGCGGGGAGGAGGAGAGGCGACGGCGGGGAGGAGGGAGAGGCGACGGCGGGGAGGAGGAGTGGCGACGGCGGGGAGGAGGGAGGCGAGGCGGGGAGGAGGGAGAGGCGACGGCGGGGAGGAGGAGTGGCGACGGCGGGGAGGTAAGGGAGAGGAGATGGTGGGGTGGGTGGGGTGGAGTGATTGTGAGGTGGGTCGGAGAGGTGACGGCGGGTAGTGAGGGAGAGGATACGGCGGGATGGGAGCGAGAGCGACGGCTGGGTGGGAGAAGAACTGGCGAGAAATTGGGGTGGGGGGGAGAAAAAGGAGAAAGACCAGAGCAGATGCTTGTCGATAGAAGAACCGAGAACAAGAACCAAGAAAAGACAGCGCCGAATTCGAGCTGTGAAAGAGACGGATGCCAGCGCAGAACGATAAAATTTCTGCCAGCGCAGAACGATAAAAATTCTGCCAGAGCAGAACGATAAATTTTCCGCCAGCGCAGAACGAGGGCATTCGGCAATGCCACCCAACGCCATCCAACTAGCTGACACATCAGATGCACTAGATGCAAATGCCCAACCCGCTATAATAACCTGATTGAACAATGGAGTTAAGTTGTTGGGGGAAACAATTCATGTTTATTAGATTCACAAAAAGAACATAAATGTCCAAATTGTTCCATAATCAATTAGCACTTAAAACGATTTTGAGGGAAGAAACATCTATAGAACAATTTTCTACATAATAGGGAACTATCGAGCCTGTCATGTTTTAAGTAAAAATGAAGAACTTAATGAATTGATCTATAAGCGAAATATGATTATAATGTACTTTATCATAGTGTTTTTAACACAAGGGATACAACTCTACGCAACCCTTCCGACGTAGACGTCGAATATTGTTTATATATATATATAAGGTGAGCAGCGACTGTACTCCAGTAGCTTGTTGAATCAGTAGCTTGTTGAATCCGAAACTGCAGGGAGTGTAACCAGTGATATATTTCCATAATATGTTCAAAAAATAATTGGACCCCAAAGGTCACTACAAGCCCACCTCGTGGATATTTTTCAAGGTTTTTGAAGTGGTGAGCTTGTAGGCACGAGACAACCTTCATCGTATCCGTCACGAACATCCCAGCTTTCCAAGTCCCTATCAATTACGACTCACAAATATGTTATAACTCGAGTGGTGGTGGTCTTGAACCAACCAGCTGCCACTACTTCCCACCCGGAAACTTTGAATATTGTATATCAAATTGTCCTAAATCCAGAGCTCTGCAATAAATAGGGTGGATTGTGTGCAATTGCCCTTCTGTAAACTGCATAACCAAAGGCAAGTGGGGGAGGGGGGGGGGGGGGCGGGACACTATTCCAGTCTATATATCGTATAATTTTATGGTCGTCCCAACCCTTAACCACGGGATACAGAACCCTGAAATGATACAAGAGGGAGCGACTCCTCCCTGTAGCAGAGAGCAATCAAGGGCACTAGACCCACTCATGTCACCGAAACCTCCTCCACTTCAAACTCTTTGAATTTTATTTTTCCTTCCGATTATTTTTTGCTATGAGGTTATATAATCGGAATAACGAAATGAACAAACTCCAGATTTGAGAGAGAGAGAGAGAAAGAGACGGAGAAGGAGAGAGAGAGAGAGAGAGAGAGAGAGAGAGAGAGAGAGAGAGAGAGAGAGAGAGAGAGAGAGAGATGCTGGTCGCCACGATCGCCCGGAACAGGTGGTCCCAGCAGCGAATCACGAGGAGGCAGGCTCTGAAGATGTTGATGTCGGGGGGAACTATGAACCCTCGGATGAACACGCCTCCGAAGAATGTTCCCTGGAGGAGGAGACTGGGGAGGGGATAAGAGAGGCTCGGAGAAGAGAGGATGCAGGAACAAGGACAAGAGAGGGAAACCAACCTGCCGTGCCAATAGTCCCAGGTCCGGCAGCTGGGGGGGTTGCTGCACCAAGCGTCCGCTCACCATCCGACTTGGCAGGAGATGAAGCCATCTGGCAACAAGCATCCACGTGGGACCCTGCACAAATGCAACGTGGGGACCAACCCTTCCTGGTCCGCCGACTTCCCCCACAGGTGTTGGACTCCTATGTACGCTGCATCCTGGCCCCTCGAAAAGAATCCGGACTGTCCAGGTGCCTAGATGGTCCTTCAGTTTCTGCCGAGACTGACCCTACGACCACCACCCGAACCAGTTGAAGGGAGTCGATGGACAGGTGTGGAAGATCGCCTGCACCAATTCCAACTGGGCAGGTGGCGCGAACTTTTTGAAGAAGCGAATGTCGTCCCCGACATTGGGGACTCGATACGACACCAGGCAGATGACGCGGGGATGTGTGCTCGAGCGGAGGGACTGGTTAAAAAAGGAAACATTTCAAAGGCGGTTGCTGCGTTACAAACTACTCCACTCGCTGAAGCCAACCCTGAAACCCTCGCAGCCCTGCAAGCGAAGCATCCTGAAGCAACATCGCCACTGCCCGGTTTGGTAACAGGACACACACGCGCAACTATCAGAGTGACGGCTGACGACCTGCGCGAAATCCTCGCGAAGTGCCCGAATGGCGTGGGAGCGGGACCATCTGGAACTTGTTTTGAACACCTCAAGGATCCTGCTCACGCCAAGGAAGAGGTGCTGATTCTCCTCGCTAAGGCAGTAAGCCACCTGCTTAGCACGTACCAGACCCAGGCGGTACGCGACCTAGTGCTTCCATCGAGGCTGATAGCATTGGAGAAACCGGGTGGAGGGGTGCGTCCAATCGCGATAGGGGAGACCATCCTTAGGATCACGGCGAAAGCGGCTCTTAGGGAATTCTCGCAAAACATCCGTGACTTCTTCCTCCCCGTGCAGTTTGGCGTCGCGGTTACGGGAGGAGCGGAATGCATCATCCACTCCGTGAGATCGCTCCTCAAAGATGATGACACACGGATCGCGCTGCAGCTCGACATAGAAAATGCCTTCAATAGCGTGGAACGGTCGGCATTTTTCATGTCACTGGCACAGTCTAGTCTGCTACCACTCCTCCCGTTCGTCCGCACACTGTACGGTGGACCCTCGAGGCTCCTTGTGGATCAGCGGCTTGGCGTCGACCACATCAACAGCACACGAGGAGTACGCCAAGGGGACCCACTAGGACCCCTCCTCTTCGCAGCAGCAATCCAGCCAACGCTCTTGGGGGCCGCGACATTCTACCCAGACGTGGCAATAGTTGCCTATGCGGATGATATCACGATCGTGGGCCCCCGAGAATCTGCTTATGAGGCGTTTAACCACGTCATGACGGGGCTAAGTCTGTTGGGACTGCGGTGTAATATCACCAAGTCTTCGGCTTGGTACAGAAACTTGGAAGCAGAGAGCGACACAGCGCCACCACAGGGGCTGCCAAGGAATGCGGACGGCATACAAGTCCTGGGCAGCCCCATTGGCTCGGCTGATTTCTGTGCAGACAGGGCTCAGGCACGACTCAACGAGGCAGCGGCAACACTGCCGCTGATCGCACAGTTGCACCCACAGTACGCCATGCTTATCCTCTCGAGAAGCATCTCCCGCAGAATATCGTACCTGCTCCGGACTACACCGGCGGAAATCCTGGAGAGGGAGGGATGGAGGAGGTGGAGCGAGACCTTACTGGAGGCGGCACTTGCGGCGGCAAAGCTAAGGATCCCGGCAGGCGAGCTGGAGCAGAGCTTACTCTGGCGCCAGGGCACACTGCCGGTCAGGCTTGGGGGGCTTGGCATCATTGACCCCACCTCAGAAGCGCCGGCCGCGTACATCGCCTCGATGACGGCAGCTCAACAGCTACTGCGCCAGATGAACCTGCAAGACTCCTACCTCCTGAAAAGAGCGGTCACCCTCCTGGACTATGCATGGACCCCAGACCCCCCCATGGTCAACCAGTTGCTGGCCCTTGAGACAGGCCTCCCCACAGCGGCACAGACAGCACTGCAAGAGCACAGGGAGCGACCGATGGGGCTGGGAAACCTGCAGCAGACACTAAGCCGGCACATCAACGAGAGGCGGGCGGCGGAGCTACTGGCAGATACAATTCAGGACAGACCGGGGACGGATAGGGGACATGCTGTGCGCCTCATCAGCCTGCAGGGAGTAGGAGCGGGGGATTGGCTACATGCTGTGCCAACCAGAACTGACCTTTCATTTGCCCCTGGTCAGTTCTCGTTGGCACTGGGATTCCGCCTAGGCATGAGGCTGCCAGTCACTGTGAAGTGCCCCTGCAAGCGCGGCAACTCAGACATCACAGACACGAGCCTCCCCAATCATCTCCTACGTTGCGGGGAAGGAGGGGACGTGGTCAGAACACACAACGCTCTAGTTTACGCTGCACTCAGGATGGCACAGGAAGCTGACTTCACCGTCTTCCACGAAACAACTGCCTTCTCCCCCCCGGTCATCAGGAAGAGGGGAGACTTGGCCATTCGAGACAAGGAGTCCAATGAAACGTGGGTGACCGATGTGACAGTAACGGACCCTGTACTACAACGACGAGACACAAGGGCACGGAAACCACCCGGGTGGGCAGCTAGGGAGGCGTCTGAGGGGAAGCACAGAATCTATGAGGGCAGACCTGACTATGTCGGTTTCTTTGGGCTGGCGGTAGAGACCTACGGTGCCTTGGCGACGGACACGCAACAGTTTCTGCGCCTGCTAGCAACATCAGCGGCAAAGAAGAAATTCCGCCAAGGCAGGCTCACCACAACAACGGCCAGGCTCACAGCACACTACAGACAGCGATGGTCTGTCATGCTGCAGCGCTCCCAGGCCACTTCTTTCCTGAACAAGTCAAACATAGGGGACGAGGCAGCATTCACCCAGGCAGGAAAGGACCCATGGGAGCCAAGCCTCGGGGACCTCTGGCAGGTCCTAGAGGACGAAGTATAGAGGGGGTTAGAGGGGTATCGGGGGATAGACACGGCTTAGCTTGAGGAGTGCTGGTCTGCCAGCCCGCTAGGCCTGCTATGCTAGGCTTTGCAAGCTCCTGCCATGCCCGGCCTTGCTTGCCTGCCTTGCTCTTCTCGCCGGCCCCGCCTTGTTCTCCTTGCCTGCCCTGCCTCGTTCTTCTTGTCTGTTTGCAGATGTCCTACCCGCAGCACGTACCTGCCTTGCAGCAATCCAGCCAACGCTCCTCTTCGCAGCAGCAATCCTCCTCCTCTTCGCAGCAGCACGTACCTGCCTTGCATGCTTGGTTGCTTCAATACCTAGGCCTGTCTAGCACCTATCCCTGCCTTGCCTGTACCCCTATGAACCTATCAATGAAGGACTGCTTGAGAGAGAGAGAGAGAGAGAGAGAGAGAGAGAGAGAGAGAGAGAGAGAGAGAGAGAGAGAGAGAGAGAGAGAGAGAGAGAGAGAGATGGCCTAGTTTTAGTCCTTAGCCGTTTCTAGGCCTCTCTAGCCTAGGATCCAGTCCTTAGCCATTTTTAGCCTAGTTTCCTTAGTATAAAGCACCTGGATCCAGTCCTTTGAGCTCATTATTCACTGGTGAGTTGGGTTCATCGGAAGATGTCTCCGTGGATGCAGAAGATGGGGTACCCTTACCAGGGGGAGCAGGTCGGGGACGTGGACAGGGACGAGGTAGGGATACAGGGGGGGTGGACGGGAATGGACAGGTGGGCGAATCAGAAGGCGAGCAGGCAAATGGGGCTGCCAGCAAAGAACGGTCACCAGCTAAAATCATGGAAGATGATGACGCGTGGAGGCGGGTGGAGGCCTGGGACCTGGGTCCCCTGCGAGCCAGCTCCCAGCCCTTTCTGGCCAGGAAGCTTCCGCCCGAAATTCTGAAATCGTTCAGCCACTGCCTCACCATACCACTTTTGCGACTATCGAAGCAACCAGACTGCCTCGGGGCATGGCGAATCCTGCAATTCCTGCCCAGACTGATACTGAGGGCAAATCTCGAGAAAGTTCCGGGAAACAAATGGCAGGCGGTGGAGGCGAGGCTGAGACAGTTCCGAGATGAGGAGTGGGACGCCCTGTACCTACAAGCCAGCACCATCCCCGCAGATTCCAAACCCGCTAGACACGAACCTGACCCCGAAGGCATTTGCGCCAGGGCAGAAGGGCTGGTACGGAAGGCCAACCTGGCGAAAGCGACAACGGCTCTACACGCATCACCACTGGCAGAACCATCCCAGACCACACTCGAGGCCCTCCGCGCGAAACACCCAGGAGCAACACAGGCGATACCGGAGGGAGTTAATGGTTACACATCCTGTGGGCTCGACATCAGTGCGGACAAGTTTCGCGAACTGTTAGCGAAATGCCCGAACGGCATCGGTGCAGCCCCATCGGGCACCTGCTTTGAACACCTTCGCGACCCTGCCTTAACCAAAGCGGAAGTGTTTGACCTACTGCACAAGACTGTGAACCACCTGCTAAGCAGCTACCAGAACGAGCAGATACCGGAACTAAACCTCCCATCTAGGCTGATCGCCCTGGGCAAACCGGACGGAGGAGTGCGACCGATAGCAATAGGGGAAGCACTGCTGCGACTAACGGCCAAAGTAGCACTCAAGGAACTAGGGGAGGAGATTCGCAGCCACTTCCTACCCGTACAGTTCGGTGTGTCCGTTCCAGGGGGCGCGGAATGCATAATACATACAACAAGAGCGCTCCTGGCCGAAGATCCCACGCGGATAGCCCTCCAGCAGGACAAAGAGAACGCGTTCAACTCTGTCGAACGCGGGAGCTTCCTCTCGTCGTTAAGATGGACTAGGCGGATCTCTCTCCTCCCGCTTGTGCGCACGCTATACGGCTCACCATCGAAGCTCCTACTGGACAGTGGTTTCGGGGCGCCATCCATTGACAGCACGCGGGGAGTCCGCCAGGGAGACCCGCTCGGCCCAATGTTGTTCGCGATGGCCATCCAACCGGCACTTCTGACGGCGGCAGTGCAGGTCCCAACAGTGACGATAATGGCTTATGCCGACGACATCACAATCGTGAGGGAGGCAGCCGGGGCGATTAAAGCACTCGACATGATCTGTGGGGAGCTAAACGGTCACGGCCTGAGGTGTAACCTCACCAAATCGTCCGCGTGGAGCCCGTCGGGGAGCTCGGATACCTTGCCAGACGGACTGGTAGCGGGTATAAGAGTTCTAGGGAGCCCGGTGGGAACGTTGGCGTTCTGCAGGCGGCTTATCAGGAGCGCGCTAGGGACCATGTCTGCACCACTCGGCCTCATCGGCCGCCTTCACCCACAACACGCAATGCTGCTGCTGTCGCGGTGCATCTCCCGCCGGGCGTCCTACCTCCTGCGTACCACACCTGCAGATGCACTACCACTCAGAGAATGGAGAGAGTGGAGTGAGCGGCTACTTTGGACAGCCCTCAAGGCGGCCCACCTGCACACGCCAACAAAGGAGCTCGAGCAAAGCCTGGTGTGGAGACAAGCGACTCTGCCGGTGGCGCTAGGAGGTTTAGGGCTCATCGACCCACTGTCAGAGGCACCAGCAGCATACCTGGCCTCACTAAATGCAGCCTAGACCCTCCTGCAGCAGGTTTCGGCCATGCCAGATCATCCGCTGCAACGCGTAGTGGAGCTGGTTTCACCACAAGGGGAAGGGGCAGCAGTGGGGAGCAGAACAACGCTACAGGATATGCAGAACAGGCTCCTAGAGGCGGCACAGGAGCTGCTGAAGGGATTCAGCCGGGAAAATGGGGGGAAGGGGCAACTACAGGAGCTCCTCTCCAAGCACATCAACCAGGACCGGGCAGCAGAACTATTGGGCGATACTCGGGTGGATAAACCGGGGGAGGACAATGGCCATGTGATCCGCTTGATCAGCCTGCAGGGAGTAGGGGCAGGGGATTGGCTACACGCCATCCCTACGAGAGGGGACCTGACGTTTTCGCCGGGACAATATGCAATAGCCCTGGGTTTTCGCTTGGGACTGACCCAGCCAGTGACAGACACATGCCCGTGCCACGGGGAACGATCGAAGATGAATGACCGAGGCTTCCCCAACCACCTGCTGAGGTGCGCGGAAGGAAAGGACAGGACAAACACGCACAACTCCCTGGTGTATGCGGCACTGCGAATGGCACGCGAAGCGGACTACATGACTTTGCATGAGACCACCGTCTACTCGCAACCCGTCAACCATAAGCGAGCGGACCTGGCCATCAAAGACCGTGAGTCAGCTGAAACGTTCGTTACAGACGTCACGGTCACTGATCCCGTGCTGCAGCGGCGTGACATAGGGGCCATCAGGGGGCCGGGCTGGGCGGCAGAGGAAGCTGCAAGGACAAAAAGGGGTCTGTACGAGGGGCGCCCGGACTTTGGGCTAGCGGTGGAAACCTATGGGGCCTTAGCATAGGACACCCAGAGGTTCCTCCGCCTCCTCGGCACATAGGCGGCGAAGAAAAAGCACAGGCAGGGGAGGCTCACCACGGTGGCCTCCAATCTGACTGCGCATTACCGACAACGCTGGTCAGTGATGCTGCAGCGCAGCCAGGCAAACGCCCTGTTGGCGAAGTCCAACAGGGCGACAGAGAGGGCCTTCCCCCAGGCCCCAGTTGACCTGTGGGAACCCAGCCTCGGGGACCTCTGGCAGGTCCTTGAGGATGGGCTGGACTGGGGGCCGGCCCTGGATGGGTGAGGGGGAAAGGGGGCTGGAGTGAGAGGACACTCCAGGCCGCAGTCCTGAGGTACTGGGCACTGGGTGGGCCTCTCGGCTGCGCTGGCCAACTAGTAGGCGGACCATACAGGAGGGTGTTGGCCTGGTCATTGTTGGGGTTACTTGGTTGCATGCTAGCCGGCTAAATACCTGGACTGCATGCTTAAAGCCAAAACTAAACTCTCTTGCATGCCTAGAGTTTGCTTGCTAGAATCTTGCACATGCCTTGCTTGTACCCCATAAACACATCAATGAAGGACCGCTTGAGAGAGATGGCCTAGTTTCAGTCCTTGGCCGTTTCTAGGCCTCTCTAGCCTAGGATCCAGTCCTTAGCCGTTTTTAGCCTAGTTTCCTTAGTATAAAGCACCTGGATCCAGTCCTTTGAGCTCATTATTCACTGGTGAGTTGGGTTCACTCTCCAAAACCGGCGGCGACTCTTCAGCCGCCGTGGCTACCCTGCGGAAAGCCAAGGACCATCATCAAGCTCAGCATCTTCTGGCTCTAGCGGCAAGTGGAGCAGCTCCCACTTCGCCTCCGACAATGCCCCTCGAACAAGCCCCTGCTGAACCTCATCAATCTGAGGGTCGCGGGCGACGTACATCCGACTCTACACGGCGAGGTGATACTGCTCAAGCATGTCAGAAAGAACGAAACAGGAATGATTGCATTGAACAGAAATGTGGTACAAGTAGTGAAACCCTAAAGTGTTGTACCCCATATTGACTAACCCACTACAGCCTAAACAAGCTATAGCATATAACTTTGACACACCCCCATAGGCAAAGTGGGGGAGAACAAGAGGTCACAAGACCAGTCAAGAAAAGCAAAGCAAGCTCAGGGTGGATCTCAAGGATACCACACAAATTCCGAGCACAAGCAAGCGGTCACAAGACCAGTTCACATGCAGTTTGATAATAGAACAAGAGGTACAGTGATCACAACCTAGCAAGTGAAAGCATGCAGGTATATATATAGAGATCACAGTACAAGCAGAGTCAAGAAGTGAGCAAGTGAGGGAGAGTAGGCACAAGGCCTAGAACAGTACAGAAACGCTGATGGTCACAAGGCTGAAGCGCCTTGGTGAACACGTCAGCAGTGTTGGCCCGAGTGGCCACGTAAGAGAGACGAAGCTGACCACGCTGCTGCAGCTCTCGAGCAAGGAAGTAGCGCAGAGCGATGTGCTTCGTTCTGTGCTCCAGTCTGTGCTCCTGACACAAGGCAAGGGCGGCCTTGTTGTCGACGTACAGCACTGGAGGAGAACGAGGCCGCTCTCCCAGGTCGGTCAGCAGGTAGGTGAGCCAGCGAAGCTCCTGGGCAGCCATGGCTGTGGCGTAGATCTCAGCCTCACAACTGGAGCTGAGAACAGAGGAAGAGCGTGTAGAACGCCAAGAAACTGAGCCAGAGCCAAGGCTGAAGGAGTAACCCTGAGACGACCGCTGAGTAGCCTGGTCGTCAGCCCAAGAAGCGTCTGAGTGTCCAGTGAGGACAACGTCGCGCCGTCCTCCAAGCACAAGCCCCATGCCCGACGTACTGCACAAGTAGCGCAACACCCTCTTAGCTGCATCCATGTGCTCCTTCCGGTGACGGCCAGGAGCGACATAGCGTGCTAGGATGCTAAGAGGGTAGGCTAGGTCAGGTCGAGTGCAGGTCATCAGGTACATGAGGCAGCCCACAAGCTCTGGATACGGGCCACTCGGCTCTACGGACTCATCCGAAGGCAGAGCTGAGAGCGAGTGACCGGTAGGCAGAGGAGTGGGCTGAGGCGAGGAGTACGTGAAGCGGAAGCGCTGAAGGACTTGCTGCACCATGTGTGACTGAGTCAAGGTGATGGTGCGCTGTGCTCTGTCCCGGGTGATCCGCAAGCCAAGATAGCTTGTCAGCTCACCCAGGTCTGTGCACGTGTGTCTCTTCTGCAGCTCCGACTTCACGTGGGCGAGTGCCTCAGTGTCAGCAGTAGCAAAGACCAAGTCGTCTACGTACACGAGAACGTAGAACGGCGGCAGAGTGGTGTCGGTGCGTAGAAACAGCGACGGGTCAGCAGTAGAAGGAGCAAACCCAAGAGCAGCAAGAGTAGTCCTCAGTGTGTCGTGCCACTCACGGGGCGCCTGGCGGAGACCGTAGACTGGCCGCCGGAGGCTCCACTGGGTACCAGGAGGGAACGACCCAGTGAAGCCAGGTGGGCGGCGCAGCCAGATCTCCTCGTGCAGGGTGCCCTGTAGAAACGCAGTGCTGAAGTCAAGGCAGTGGAGCTCGTAGTCACGCTGAGCAGCGACGTGCAGCAGAACCCGAAGAGTGGTCATCTTCGGGGTCGGGGAGAAGGTCTGAAAGAAGTCAACTCCCTCTCGCTGACTGAAGCCTCGTGCAACGTAACGCGCCTTGAAGACAGGCGGAGAACCCGGCGGCCGCTTCACCCTGAAAATCCACATGCCACTGACGATGTTCGCCCCAGGTGGGGGAACCTCCTCAACGTAGGTGCCTGTGGACTTCCAGGAAGCCATCTCTGCGTCCATGGCTGTCTGCCACTGAGAGGAGTAGAGACCCTCCATCGCCTCTGCGTAGGAGCGTGGGGTCGGGATGTCTGGTGCATCCGGGTCTCCCTCAGGGGCAATCAGCATGGACACGAGATGAGGTAAAGCAGCAGCAAAGCACTCAAACTCCTCCAGTCTGTCCTCAAGGACGTCCGTGCCAAGAGCACACTCACCCCCGACGGACTGAGGACAGACAGACTCAGACTCAGCGACAAGGCTAGCTGCGTAGTCTAGACGACAGGCGGCAGCAAAGTCAACAAGCTCAGCGACTAGACCAGATGCAGCAGAGGACTCAAAGGTAGGGTCAGTGACAATAGTGGCAAGGATACGCGCGACAGTAGGACTGGCAGCACGAGTAAGGTCTGACGGCGGGTCGGCAACGTCAGGAAGAGAGGACGCAGGAGGAGACGGCAGAGGGACGCGCTGTGGAGTAGTGGAAGGACGCAGGGTCATATAGTGAGTGCCTAGGATAGGAGGAGGACGCTCACGTGGAGCACGATGACCAGTGCGGGCAGTGCGGACAGGCGACTCTGGACGAGACTCAGAAGACGGAGGACTGGACTCAGGTGACGGAGGACGAGACTCAGGCTCACGACGCTCCGTAAAGCTACCTGTCGGCGCAGTGTAAGGAGAAGGACCAGGCAGTGGAGAGGCAGGCTGTAACTGTGACTGCGACGGGACAGGTGGTGGACTCAGTAGGGGAGGAGGAGTAGGACCAGGAGAGGGCGGGAGACCAAGAACCTGCTGAAGGAGCGGAACGTAGTACGGCCGCAGCCGCTCAGCACCTCCAGCTCCAACTCCCTCAGCAGGCCCAGTCCCAGCAGCTCCAGTACCTCCAGTACGAGCACCTCCAAGACCAGCGGCTCCAGCAGCTCCAGCACCAGCAGCACCACCAGCAGCACCAGCACCTCCAGCAGCTGCAGCAGCAGCAGCACCTCCAGCAGCACCAGCACCAGAAACACCTCCAGTAGCTCCAGCAGCACCAGCAGTACCAGCACCAGCAGCACCTCCAGCAGCGCCAGCAGCACCGCCAGCAGCAGCAGCAGCACCAGCACCAGTAGCTCCTCCAGCAGCGCCAGCAGCACCGCCAGCAGCAGCAGCACCTCCTGCAGCTCCAGCAGCACCAGCACCAGCAACACCTCCAGCAGCTCCAGCAGCACCAGCAGCAGCAGCAGCAGCACCTCCTGCAGCTCCAGCAGCACCAGCACCAGCAACACCTCCAGCAGCTCCAGCAGCACCAGCACCAGCAACACCTCCAGCAGCTCCAGCAGCACCAGCAGTACCTCCAGCAGCTCCAGCAGCACCAGCAGCACCAGGACCAGCAGCACCCCCAGCAGCTCCAGCAGCAGCACCGGGGTCCGCGACGCGAGGAGCGCCACTCCGGAGACTGCAGTGCCGAGCGTACCACTCGCGGAGCTGCAGGGGAGAGGGCAGCGCCCGCCGAGGAGTGGAAGCACTAGCACCAGCTCCAGCAGCGCTCCGAGCGCCAGAAGCACCTCTCCTGAGGCTGCAGTACTGTAAGTACCACTCACGCAGCTGCTCGGAGGAGAGAGCTCCTCCAGGTGTAGCACTCCCAGGCTCAGCACTCCCAGACTCAGCACCCCCAGTCTCAGCACCCCCAGACTCAGCACCCCCAGACTCCGCCACCCCAGGCTCCGCACCCCCAGGCTCCGCACCCCCAGGCTCCACACGCTCAGGCTCAGCACCCCTAGCAGGACGAGAGTCGACAGCTACCTCGACAGGGTCAACCGGGTCTACCTGGGACACACCTGAGGGAGCGGCACCCTGAGGGGGGAGGGGGTCTACCACAGCAGCACCTGGCGCGAGGAAGAGAGGCGGGGGAGGGAGCGGGGCAGTGCGGTAGGGGAAGAGGCGGTAGTAGGGCACCGACTCGTCAAAAGTGACGTCCTGAGAGGGCAGGACACGGCGCGAGGTGGCGTGGTAAAACTGCCAACCAGACGCGTCCGGGACAAAGCCAAGGAAGACACAAGGAACAGCGCGGGAGGAGAGCTTGTCCGCAGACGTATCGCGGACAAAAGCTCGAGATCCCCAGACCCGGAAACGCGACGCATCGCCAACCTCCCCCGTCCACAGCAGTGTGGGCGAGGTCTCCGGCAAGGAGACACGGGGCCAGAGGTTGAGCTGATGCGCAGCGTAGCAGACTGCAAACGGCCACAGAAAGTGGGGGGCAGCCGCATGGATCAAGGAGGTACGAGCGACCTCCATGACCAAGCCAATGCAGCGCTCAGCAACCCCATTCTGCTGTGGAGAGGCCGGAAGCGTGAACGACTGCTCAATGCCGTGCTCTGCACAGTAGGCTGCCAAGAGGTCGGAGGAGAACTCACCACCTCTGTCAGAGTGCAGACGCAAGACAGGAAAGTCCAAGTGGAAACGCTCGCTGAGCTGGAGACGGGCAGCGCGGATCCAAGGGATCAAAACAGCAGGGACCTCACCCTTGGTGCGCAAGGGGAAGACCGTGGTGTAGCGCGAGAAGTCGTCAACAACGATCAGGAAGTACCGCTCCTGACCCTGTCCACGGACGCGGGCTGGGCCCCACACGTCCATGTGGAGCGTCTGCAAGGGAGCAGTCGTCGGGGGAAACGAGGAGGAGTGAGGAGCGGCGCGCTGCCGCCCCTCGACACAAGGAAGACAGGGAGGAGCAGGCGAGGGTGGTAGGGGAGGGAGTACCCGGGGAAGACCAGAGACAAGGTACCGTTTGTGCATGGCACGAAGGCGCTGCACGGACGGGTGACCAAGGCGGTGGTGCCAGAGGACAGTCTCGTGCGCCAGAGAGCGACACGAGCAGGGGGCAGACAACTGACCTGACGCAGACGCAGATGTAGCTACCTGAGGGGACTCAGTGGTCAGTGTGTATAGGTCCGACCCCGGCTGCCTAGTGAAGGTAGCCAGGTGACGGCCCGTCCAAGCACACGTGCAGTGTGTCACGCGCTCGTAGGCAGGGGTGAACTGGTGGACACCCCCATCCTGAAGCACACAGCCTGCCACCAAGTTCGTAGAGAACGAGGGGAGGTGAAGACCTGACAGTGTGCCCGACGGAACCGCAGGACAAGGAAGGACAGTGGAGGAGGTCGCAATGACCGGACCCCCAGAGGGGTCAGCAAGGGAGACAGCAACTGGCCTAGCAAGCTGCTCAAGGGCAGTGCGGTCACGAAAGAAACAGCGAGAAGCGCCTGAGTCTAGAGTGAAGGTGTGCAGTGCCTCAGTGGACTCAGTACCAGGGGGCGCAGACTCACTAGCACCTGGAGCAGTAGCCTCACCAGCACCTGGGGCAGCAGACACGTAAGCACCTAGCGCAGCAGCCTCACCAGCACCTGGGGCAGCAGACACGCAAGCACCTAGAGCGGCAGCCTCACTGGTGCGAATGCCCGGGTCGGGCGGAACACGCAGGTACTGATCACCCTCTCCACTAGTAGACAACGCATACATGGCAGTGAGAATAGCATCAAAGTCAAGAGCAAAGACATCAATGTTCTTCTTCATCAGATCCCACCAGCGGGGCAGCTCAGTGGCAGTAGGGAACTGAGTGCGCCAAGCGTCGTCGAGGCGGGAGAAGCAGCGCTGCGTAGTGTGCGCCCTCCCACAAGTCTGGCCAGTGCGCTCACCAGTGCGGATGACGTACGTGCAGCTAAGGCCACCCCCCCCCCCCCCCCGTGCTGAGAGTACCACTCACGAAGCTCCTGGGGAGAGAGAGTCTGCTGTCCGCCAGCGCCACCACGTCCACCACCTCCGCCGCCACCACCTCGACCACCACCGCCCCTGCCGCCGCCTCGTCCACCGCCGCCCCCACCACCGCCCCCACCCCGGCCACCTCCTCCGCTGCTGCCGCCACCACCCCCACCGCTGCCACTAGCCCCTCCTGCCCCGCCACCACCCCCACCGCCTCCACCGCCCCCACCACCGCCTCCCCCGCCGTCACCTCCACCTCCCTTGCCCCCTTTGCCCTTGCCGCTGCGGCGCCAGCTCGGAGCGGACGCAGTCCCGACCTGCTCAGTACCAACTAGGTCGACAGCAGCAGCAGAGGCGACAGAGGGGAGCAGGGGGGAAGGGGAACACCCCTCGAAGAACGGGGTGCGGGGGTCGCCACGAGAGGCAGCTACAGCGACTATGCTAGTCTCGGCTGCAAGCAGTTCCTTCTCGAGCAGGTCAACGGTGAGCTCAGTGGGGCAGCGAGCGAGGAAGTGGTCCCTGACCGCACGAAGAGAGTCAGGGAGACGGGTGACAAGGTGGTAGAGAGTGAGCCAGAGCGGGGGGGGGTGGGTGGCAAGAAACTCAGCGGGCATAGCGGCACGGAAGCGAACCTCACTAGTGCTGAGGTGCGTGGTGAGGTCAGCGACTGTGGCGAAAGCGGACAGGTCTGGGAACAGGTAGGGGAGCGAGAGACGACCTAGCGCAGCAGAGGCAGGTGAGGAGTAGCGTGCAACTACAGCAGTGTACAGTGCCTGCGCAGTCTTTTGCTGGCCAAAGTGCTCGCGCTCATCGACCGGCAGGGAGTTACGAATAGCGAAACGAGCGTGGGCATCACGAGTCTGCCACTGTGAGCGGGCAGTACTGTCAGCAGTAACAGCAGGGGCAGCAGCGAGGCCTAGTGCGTGGTCGTACAGTGAGATATCCTCCTTGGCAGTGAGCTAGAGGAACAGGTGCAAGTCATCTAGCCAGGTGTCAAACTTCACTGGGCGGCCCTCGGCATCAAAAGTGAGGACAGCGGGGCTAGCCATAGTAGCAGTAGAAGTAGCAGCAGTAGCAGGAACAGTAGCAGTAGTAGCAGCAGGCACATCCCTAAAAGCAGCAGGCAGTGCAGCTCAGGTAGGGCGGCTCGGTCCAGAAAGGGCGGCTCAGTACGGGGAGGGCGGCGCGGCTCGGTTCGGGCGGCGCGGCTCGGCTCGGGCTGGGCGGCTCGGTTCGGGCGGCTCGGTTCGGGCTGGGCGGCTCGGTTCGGGCGGCTCGGTTCTGGCGGGGCCGACGGGGCCTCTAAGGGGCGAACGCGGGGCCGACGGGGCCTCTAAGGGGCGAACGCGGGGCCGACGGGGCCTCTAAGGGGCGAACGCGGGGCCGTAAGGGGCCTCTAAGGGGCGGCGCGAGGGGTCGACGAGGCCGTAAGGGGCCGCTAAGGGGCGGCGCGCGGGGTCGACGGGGCCGTAAGGGGCCGCTAAGGGGCGGCGCGCGGGGTCGACGGGGCCGTAAGGGGCCGCTAAGGGGCGGCGCGCGGGGTCGACGGGGCCGTAAGGGGCCGCTAAGGGGCGGCGCGCGGGGTCGACGGGGCCGTAAGGGGCCGCTAAGGGGTCGACGGGGCCGTAAGGGGCCGTTAAGGAGGGGCGCACGAGGGCGCTGGGGGGAGGCGCTCGAGGGCGCTCCGACAGTAGGGCGCACGAGGGCGCTAGTAGGCAGTCAGTGTGGTGGGCCCTTAAAAAAAAATCGGTCCTAGCGGAGGACCTGCTCTGAAACCATGTCAGAAAGAACGAAACAGGAATGATTGCATTGAACAGAAATGTGGTACAAGTAGTGAAACCCTAAAGTGTTGTACCCCATATTGACTAACCCACTACAGCCTAAACAAGCTATAGCATATAACTTTGACAAAGCACCGTCGCAAGGCGCGCCACGAAGCACCCGATCTGAGACAGGCGCTCCCCGCGCTCAAGATACTCGGCCTCGCCCGGGGTTCATTCCACCCGCGCCCCCACCCAGGATCGCGGGGATAATTCGGCCAGCCCATGTTCCACCACTGCAACTGCGGATCTCGTGCGGTCCCGGGCGTCTCAAACCCGTCCCAGCCGCGGTGGCGCTCGTTTGGTTGCGACGAAACCTCGACAGGAGTCACAACGAGGAGTCAGACAAGGGCAAGTGGAACATCAACACGGACAGGGAGAGAACACACAGGGAAGCCAACAGCAGGAAAATCCGGGTCAACAAGAACGAAAGCGCCAAGCATGGGGGCATCCCCGCTGGTGACGGAGGAATCAGACTCACCACGCCAAAACGAGCGGCGGAAGGACGGGGACGAGGAACAAGGGGATGCTGGCGTTGAGGCTGCTGGACGGGAGGAGCGGTCGGCAGCCGAGCCGGAGCCGCGGGAGGGGCCGAGACAGACGGCGCAAGATGAAGCACCGACGGGAGCTGAGGCTGCACCGGCAGAACCGACGGCGGTAGTGGAGGAGGTGCGGGAGGAAGCACAGGCGCCGGCTGTATCTGAAGGGAGGCGAGCGGAGGCAGAGCCAGCGCTTGCGGCGGCTGAGGCGGCGGGGGAAGAGCGGACGGCGGCTGAGGAACCTGCCGAGGGGGAGGAAATGGCCTTGGCCGCCATGGCTGATGGCGGGGACGTCGGGGATGACGGAAGGGCTGACCCCGCGGGCGGAGGTAGTACGGCGTTCGACCAGGCGGCGGGTGATACACAGGGCGACGGGAGTCCGGGGAAGAACGCCGCCCACGCCCCGATCCGCCGCTCGATTCGGCTTCAACCAAGTCCGCGGCGGCTCGGAGCAGGGCTGGCACCTGGCCTCCCTGGCCCCCTTCGGGGGTGGGAGTGCCAGACCTACCAACCACGACCTCACGACGAGGGGCCTTCGCGGCCTTACCCGTCATCGACGAGGGCGGAGGAGGAGGAAGCAGGCGAATTACCAGCAGAGGAGGAAATTCTGCAACCGCCAAGTGCGGCGGGAAGGACGCGAGGAAGGGCACGAGGCCGAGCACGAGGGCGCGCAGGGGCGCGGGGACGGGGGCATCGGGGAGGAGCGGTCAATGCGCGGGAACGAGTCAGATCCGGACCATGGCGGGAAAGGCACGGGAGGCCAGAGTTGGTGCCAGAGGAAGGGATCGATGATAGGCCAGCTACTGCTGACAACGACGAGGAGGAGGAGGCATATATGGCATCGGAGGAAGGAGAATCGGAAGAGGTTTCACTGGAAGATGAGCCTGGGGTGGGTAACCACCAGGGGAACGCGAGATCTGGGAGATCACGAAGGGGAGGAAATGGGAGGACTGGAGGGGAGCAACAGCACAGGGATCCGCCACGCGTGGTCCCGATAGGCCAACTTGCCGGCGCGGAAGTGAGAGAAATGCGCCCACCCGAAGTGATAGCTGGGGACGAGAACATCTGGCGTCAGGTGGCAGAATGGGAGGTGGACTGCCTGCAAAGCAGTGAACAACCCTTCCTGGCAAGGAGAATGCCACCTGGGGTGGTGGATTCATTCGCGGCGTGCCTCGTCATCCCGCTCCAGCGACTGAGGAAAAACCCTACGTGCCCAGGAGCTTGGCGGGTACTCCTCTTTTTGCCACGTTTGACATTCTGCGCCGACATTGACCCCAACTGCGCAAATCACTGGCAAGAGATCGAAGGCAGACTGCAACAGTTCCTACTGGAAAAATGGGAGCTACTGTTCATGCAGGCCAAAACCGTACAAGAAGACCCCAAACCGGCCAGACACCAGCCAGACCCCGAGGGACTTCGAGCGAGAGCGGAAGGGCTGGTACAGAAAGCGAATCTCGCGAAAGCAGTCGCAGCATTACAGTCTTCCCCCCTCGCGGAAGCATCGGCGACAACGCTCGAGGCCCTCCGCGCAAAACACCCGGAGGCGACAACTGACATACCAGGCTGGGTAACCGGGTTCAAGGCGTCAACCCTCGCCACAACGGCCGACAAGCTACGTGACGTATTGGCGAAATGCCCGAATGGGATCGGCGCGGGCCCTACTGGAACCTGTTTTGAGCATCTTCGCGAACCAGCGCTAGCGAATGGGGAAGTGCTCACACTCCTGCTAGAAGTCGTCAACAATCTGCTTGGCAAGGAGCAACCAGAAAGTATTTGCGAACTCTTACTGCCGTCCCGACTTATCGCCCTGGAGAAGCCTGATGGAGGTGTGCGGCCGATAGCTATAGGAGAAGCACTGCTTCGACTAACAGCCAAGATCGCACTATGGGAGCTCACGCCACAGATTAGGAAGTACCTCTTACCGGTGCAGTTCGGAGTCTCTGTCTCAGGAGGAGCTGAGTGTATTATTCACTCGACACGAGCACTACTTAAGGATGACCCCGACCGAGTTGCGCTGCAGTTGGATATCGAGAACGCCTTCACCTCGGTAGAGCGCCAGAGCTTCTTCACATGGCTCAGATGGTCGGGACTCCACCCCATAGTTCCCTTCGTGCGCACGCTGTATGAAAGCCCTTCCCGACTGCTTCTGGACGTCGGGTTCTCCTCAAACCACATTGAGAGCACGAGAGGAGTACGACAGGGGGACCCATTGGGACCGACACTTTTTGCGGCAGCTATACAACCGGCGCTACTCAAAGCAGCGGATGAATTCCCATCAGTGGTGGTGATGGCATACGCGGACGATATCACTCTGGTAGGAGAACCTGAGTCGGCGGGACGAGCGATGGTGCTGATCACCAACGAACTGCGCGCCTACGGGCTACGCTGCAACTTAGCGAAATTCTCGGCGTGGAGCCCGGCGGGCGCACTGGACAACCTCCCAGCTGGACTCGTGGCGGTGGTAGACGGCATTGGGAGGAAAAGGAGGAACTTTGTAAGGACAGCGCTGGAGAAGATTGCCGCGCCCCTGGACCTAATCAGTGGACTCCACCCCCAGCACGCCATGCTCCTCCTTTCCCGCTGCATCTCGAGGAGAGCGTTGTACCTTCTCCGCACGACACCGGCTGACCTCATCTCGTTGGCGGAATGGCGCGATTGGAGCGAGCGACTACTCCAGACAGTCCTCAGAGCGGCGCACCTCTACCTGCCGGCGGACGAGATGGAGCAGAGCCTCCTATGGCGCCAGGCGACATTATCGGTGGCCCGGGGGGGGCTGGGATTGATAGACCCACTCTCTGAAGCCCCAGCAGCGTACCTCGCGTCACTGACGGCGGCCCACACACTCCTACGGCAGCTCCCCCTGGCGCCAGGCAACCCCATGATTAGTACGGCACGGCTCGTGTCACCAGAGCCAGGGGAACAGAGGACCAACGGGGAGGACATCCGAAGGGACATGTGGGCGTGCCTGCCAGCATCAGCTCGAGTGGCACTACAGGCGTACTTGGAGCGAGATGATGGGAAGGGACACCTGCAGCTGATACTGTCACGACACATCAATGCGGAGCGGGCGGCGGAACTGCTAGGCGACACACGGGTAGACAAGCCGGGCGCGGACAATGGCCATGTCCTATGCCTGCTGAGCCTCCAAGGAGCAGGCGCGGGGGATTGGCTGCATGCCATACCAACGCGGGCGGACCTTACCTTCTCCCCGGGGCAGTTCGCGCTAGCAATAGGCCTCCGCCTCGGACTCACACTGGCAGTGATGGACAACTGCCCTTGCCGGGGGAGGAGGGCGAAGATAGGGGACAGAAGCCTCCCGAACCACTTGCTGAGGTGCGCGGAAGGGGGAGACCGCACAACAACGCATAACGCACTGGTGTACTCAGCCCTCCGCATGGCAAGGGAAGCGGATTTCCTTACCTTGCACGAATCGGCCATTTTCAGCCCCATAACCAACCAAAAACGGGCAGACTTGATCATTTGCGACAAGGAGTCAGGAGAAACCTCGGTGGTGTATGTGACTGTGACGGATCCAGTGCTACAACGTTGAGACAAGCGAGCAGTGAAGCCGCCAGGATGGGCCGCGGAGGAGGTGGCAAGGACAAAGCATGGCATGTACACGGGAAGGCCGGGGTGGGTGGGATGCTTCGGCATGGCGGTGGAGACGTACGGGGCAATGGCAAAGGATACGCAGCGGTTCTTTAGGCTCCTGGGCACGTCAGGAGTCAAGAAGAAATATAGACAGGGGAGGTCAACCACGGTTGCCTCTAGGCTCACCGCCCACTACCGACAGCGTTGGTCGGTGCTCCTCCAGCGCTGCCAAGCCAACGCCCTGCTCGCCAAGTCGAACAGGGCAGCGGAGGCAGCATACCCACAGGGCCCCTCTGACCCGTGGGAGCCACAGCTGGGGGACCTGTGGCAGGTCCTGGAAGACGGGTATGTCCGGGACTGGAGTTGGGGAGAGTAAAGGGCAGGAGAGGCCGATGGGGCGGCAAGGGTAGCCCGCAGCTAGGCGGATGGCCCTACAAGTGGGTATAGGGGGCTTGGGTGCTCGCCTAGGACTAAGGCCATGAGTCTAAGGCCATGCCTGCTTGGATGGTTGCTTGTATCCTAGGGTTGCTTGCTCGCTTGCCAGGACTAGCTATCACCCTGCCTGTACCCTCCTATACATCAATGAAGGATCGCTTGAGAGAGAGGATTTTTCGGCTCGCGCAATTTTTCGGCTCGCGCCTTCGGCCACGCGTGAGGGGACGGCAAGGGAAATCACACACCCCCGACTATAGGCAAGTGAAACAAGGGATGGCAGCACCTACGACTGCCTAAGACAAGCAAGCAAAAGAGCATGGAGCGCACGGGTGCGGAAGCTACAACCGATATGCCACCCGCGCAGCAAGCGGCGCCGGATGCTACATCTGATCAGCGTCAAGGACGGCAAGAAGACCCGTCAAGGTGCGATGCAGCTCTCGCACCACCAACGTGCTTGCGGCGATCGCATTGGCTCCAGAGCCTGCGCGCAATAACCGCCGCAAGCCCCGGTCAGCTGCACCAAGCTGCCCTATGCCCGCAACTCCACCCCTCGCGGGCGCAGCCAACACAGGCGCCAGGAGCTCCGCTAGTTGGTCGGCAGCATCAAGACACTCGTCCCGAGGGCCGCCATCCAGAGTGTTCCCGCGGGAGAGAGCAGCTTGACCATACACCCGGATCAGGAGAACGGCCCGCAAGCTCTCAGAGAGACGCCACAGCTGCCCCAAGGTTGCCACTAGGACTTTTGCGTGACGAAGTGGACCCACCAACGCCTGGAATGGCTGCGCGACACCAGCAGCTGGGGGAGCAGTATCTACGGGCAGGAGGGACGGATACTGGGCCGTCACCACTCCTCCTGCCGCGGTCACAAATTCCACGCCGGCCACAGGAGGTACCCACGGCAGGCGGAGATCGTGTCCCTGCTGAGGGCGGGCTCCAGGAGCGGCGGCGGATGCAGCGGGAGCAAGAGGAGGGGCTGAGGCAGCTGGAGCAACAGAGAGAGGTGCCCCTGTTAGAGGAGCAACAACAAGATGAGCAGCGGGAGGAGGAGCATTCGACGACGGTGCCACCCGCTGCGAGCTGCTCTGGCTCGCCGAGCCAGCCCGACCATCGCGCATCGCGGCGGTCAGTATCTGTTGCACATCCGCAATCGTCACCGGCGCATCATACCGCCCGCCACGCCCGCGACTGCGACCTCCCCTCCACCCACCGCGACCACCACGGTGGGCATGCCAACTCGACTGGGACTGGCGGCGTCGAGGAGAATCGTGACGGCGTCGAGACGACTCCCGCTCGTCACGCGGCGAGGGGGAGTGAGGACGAGAGGGCCGACGATCAGGAGACGAGGTACGCCGCTGCTGATCGGGAGAACGCACCGCCAGAGGAACCGACGGAGACGCCGCCGGCGCATTCAGGGCGGCAACACTAGAGGCCACAGCCGGAGCCAGGACGCAGTGGTGGCAGGCACCGCCGGCTGCGCCAAGTCGCCGGCCCGGGCCAGCGCGGCAGAGCCCGCGTCAACAGTCGGCGCAGCAGGAACAGGGGCGCTCAGCGGCGCATCAACAGCAACATGGGGAACCAGAGCGGCAACAGGAGCAACGGGAACAGGCTCCGCTTGAACAGGGGCGGGAGGAAAACCTCAGCGTGTGGTTGAGGCTCTGCAACAGGCAGATCAGGCTTTGGGAGAATTGGGGCCTCAGAGACGGAGGGAAGCGGTTTCTGTGTAGGCAGCACATGCGGCTTCATCGAGGCAGTCACCGAGGCAGACACCGTCGGCGACCTACCGATCACCATAGACGCAGCGGCAGCGTGCTCTGGCTCAGGCGTGCCTTCAATCACCATCGCGGAGAGGAAGAGGTCGAGGCCGTGGGGGACGAGCAGCTAGAGGTGTGGGCGTAGGTCCGGAGAACGCGTTCCAAGCAGCAGGACGGAGGGCTTTAACAAATCTCAAAGATAGTACTGAGCTGGAGGAGCGCGCGGATCCTACTTATAGAGAAGAACCGCAGGCACCAAGTAGCAGCAGCGAGGGCAGCGAAGGAGAAGGAGAAGGGGAGAGGGAAGGAGACAGGAGCAGAAACAACAGGGCCCAGCGGGCAGAAGAGGTGCGGCCATTGGACGGAGGTGGGCCGCGCAATGGCAATCGGACGGTTGTGAATCCAACCGTAGCTCAATCCCCAACATCGAGACGTGCCCGTGCAAGCCGAGCCGGACATCGCCAGCCCATTGCGCGATCTCAAAGATTGAACCCGCGCTATTTCTCGCCAGAGGAGTTGGCGACACATGCTGACAGGTTCGCAGCTGTCGCGAACTGGGATATCGCACCCCTCTGTGACTGTCGCCAACCACCCATGTCACGCCGATTACCGCCGAAATTGTGCCAGTTATTTTCGCTTGCCCTGCTGACGCCACTTCTACACCTATCGTGAAACCCAGACTCCATCGCGGCCTGGCGTCTGCTGCTTTTTCTCTCACGCCTAACACTTCGCCAAGCGACACCGAAGCAACCTGACTGGTCGAAAATTAAGGCCAGGCTTCGGTCATTCCAGCGTGGCAAATGGGAGCAGTTATATTATGACGCCACGGAGGCGGTCAACACACCGCCCTCGCCCCGTCATCAGCCAGACGAAACTGGCATCATCAGCAGGGCGGAGGGACTGGCGAAGCGCGGAAGTCTTCGCCGCGCAGTGCTGGCACTCGAGTCAACACCGGTATGCACACCGACTCCACAAGTTCTGGACGAGCTACGCCTCAAACACCCGCCAGCTGGTACCGAACCACTGACCTGGCCCCCCGACATCCAATCGCCAGGGCTGTCCATTTCCCACGCGGAATTTGTCAAGTTACTGAGCCGATGCGAGAACGGCGTGGGGGCTGGCCCGTCTGGTACAACTTTCGAACACCTGCGCGACACGGCAATTACCAACGCATCGATCTGCACCCAGCTACACGCCTTGGTTAACACAGTGATGGGTGGCAAATTACCCCAGTCTGTAGTAGAGCTGCTCACAGCATCACGCCTCATTGCCTTGGCCAAGCCTGGAGGAGGGGCCCGTCCCATAGCCATTGGCGAGTGTCTGACTCGCCTTGCAGCAAAAGCCGCTCTGACAGCCATGGGAGAAGCAGCGCGAGGCTACTTCTTCCCACTGCAGTATGGTGTAGCGCTGCCTGGCGGCGCGGAAGCAATAATTCACTCCGCGCGAGCATACGCTGACGCACGGCCAAACTGCCTCATTTACCGACAGACATCGCTAACGCGTTCAACAGCATCTTGCGGCAAGGAATAGTAACGGCGCTACAGGATGAAGCCCTTTCGCCACTATTGCCCCTGGTTAAACTTACATACGGCCAACCCTCGCTTCTGTACCTGGACGCAGGCTGCAACAGCGCCCCGCTAAGCAGCGAACGTGGTGTCCGGCAAAGGGACCCCCTGGGCCCGTTTCTTTTCGCAGCCGGAATACACTCAGCGCTCGCGCAACGGCAGCTGCACACCCAGGCGTCCTATGCCTGGCATACAATGATGATGTCACTTTCCTCCGCGACCCCCTTGAGACTGGCGCGGCATTCTCTCACTTCACCGGGCGGTTAGCACTAGTACGACTGCAGCACAACCCAGGGAAGTGCGCTGCATGGAGTCCAACTCGCCATCACTGACCCCAGGCTGCCCAACCACCTCTTCCGTTGTGGCACAGGCAAGCATAGGATCAACACCCATAATGAGCTTCGTAATGCGTTCATCAGTATGGCGGAGGATGCGGGGTTTATCGTACACGGGGAGTCAGCTGCGTACCTCCCGATTGAAGAGCAGACGGCGAACCTTACAATTAGAGACAAGAGTTGAGGGGCGGTCTGAATTTGTGACGTCACAATCACGGACCCCGTCAGCACAAGAGACCCCAAAGCGGAGAAAGGGCGGGGATGGGCAGCGAGAGAGCAGGCAGACAAGAAAATCAAGCACTACGAGGCAAGGCCCGACTCAGTGGGCTTCTTCCTCCTGGCGGTAGAGACCTGTGGTTGCCCCTGTGCGGAGGTACCAAATTTCCTGAAGCTGTTAGCAGACACTGCGGTACGGCGACACTTCAACGCCGACCCTCACTCTTTCCAAGCCGCGAAGTTTCTGCACCAGTTCCGGCAGAGATGGTCCGTTGCCCTTCAGAGGGCCCAATCGGTGGGGTACCTCATGAAGTCTAGTCTGGCGGCCGCAGCAGAAAACCCCCCTGTTGGGGGAACCCACACTGAGATGTCCTTGGGGGACTGGTTTGCCGCGCGTGAGGGACGGCAAGCACCACAGCAAACACTGCAAGCATCACTGCAAACACCACTGCGCGCGGCCGCGCGCGAGGGACGGCAAGCACCATTGCAAACAAGCTTTAATAGCAAAGCACACACACATGGGAGGCACAACAGGCATCTAAGGGGGCGGCAATGGAGCCAGCGGGGTCGGATGCTACATCCGATCCGCCTCAAGGGCAGCAAGAAGGCCTGATAGGGTCCGCCACACCTCACGGACCACCAACGTACTTGCGGCGATCGCGTCGGCTCCAGACCCAGCGCGCAAGTACCGCCTCAGGCCCCGGACAGCAGTGTCAAGCTGCCCAACCGCCGCAACGCCTCCCCGCGCGGGCGCAGCCAACACGTGCGCCAGGAGCAGAGCGAGCTGATCGGCAGCGTCAAGACAGTCATCCCACGGGCCTTCCTCAATCGTGTTCCCCGGAACCAGCGTGAGGGAGGCATGCGCCTGTACCTGAATCAACAGGAGTGCGCGCATACTCTCAGCAAGCCGCCACAGTTGTCGGAGTGTCGCCTCCGGCACACGAACCTGTCGGGGAAAATGACCCCCTGCAAGGAAGGGGAGGGGATCATCATCAGCAGCAATGGGAGCAGTACCAGCAGCAAGGCAGAAGGGTACTGTGCCCCCACCGCTCTCCCTCCCACTCCAACAAACTCCACGTCAGCGACTGGCGGCACCCATGGCAGACGGAGACCAGTGCCCGCCGCCACCCTCCCAGCAACAGGCGCTTGGGCTTGCTGGGACGCAAGCGGAGGCACCACCGGCTGAGGAGGAACACGCAGAGGTGCGTGAATCAGAGGAGCAGCAGGCGGGGGTGTGATCTGCTGGGAGTTGCTCTGGCTCATTGAGCCGACCTGGGCGTCACGCACAGGCGCCGCCACGATACCCCCAAGGTCCGCCCGCAGCTGCTGCACTTCAGACGCGCCACCACGACCGCGACTGCGACCTCCCCACCAGCCCCCACGGCCTCCGCGCTGAGCAAACCGAAATGCATGCGATGGGCGGCGACGAGGCGACTCCTGCCGTCGCCGTGACGACTCACGTTCGTCACGGCGAGATGGGGAATGGTGACGAGATTAACAACCCTCCTCGCGGTGACCCCGCCCCGACGGAGTCGCCGGGCACGGGGTTGACTGGTGCACAGGAGACGACGCCGGTGCCGAACGGTCCCCAACGACCACCGATTCCCCCAGGCCCGGGCTGCCAATGGTGGCAACGGACGGCAGGCACGTCGATTCGCCGACAGGGGGCAGCGGCACGATTTATGCAGCAGCAGGCGGAACAGGAGCGGACGAGAGAGGCGCCACAACCGGCGCAGACGGGGCAGGCTGCGCAGGTTCCACAATCGGCGCAGGAGGTGCGAGGCGAGGTGATTGCGCAGGAGCATTGCCTGCGGCTGACACCGAGGCGCGGACAGGTGGCACAAGGGGCGCAGCAGCCGATTTCATCGCCTCGGACGACATCCATGACACACTCGGCGAACACGCGTTCGCTGCAGACACAAAGACAACGCGCGTTCGCGATGGCTCGGGGGCGCCCGCAATCACCATCCCGTAGTGGAAGGGGTCGGGGTTTGGGCCGACAGACGACAAGCAGGATAGGTGGAGGGCCGGAGAATGGGTTCCAAGCAGCTGCACGAAGGGCTTTAACGGAGCAAGAAAGGAATGACGAGGAGGAACTAAGAAGGGACCCTACTTATAGTTCTGAGGAGGAGGCGAAAACTACAACTGAGACCCAAGAGGCAGCAGAGGTAGCTGAGGATGGTGAGGTAGCCCCCGAACCGCAATTACACGAAGGGCTGCAGATCCACTTCCCGGGGATCCGACGGCTCTCCAACCCGTCGGACGAATTCCCGCTCGAGCCGCGGGCGAGCGATTACTCACGCCGCAAATTTGCCAAACCCCCAATTGCCAGCCCGACATTTTTCGCCACAACCATTTCAGAATGTCAGACAAGTTCGCTGCGGTAGCGACCTTTTTCCTACGTGCTGCTGCGGCCGTGGGTCCTCCTCTATTCTCTCCTGCTGTGACTGTAACTGAACCTCCTGACGTGGGTGTGTCTCCTCCTCCACTCTCTCCGGCTGTGGCTGCAACTGAACCTGCTGCTGCGGGTGTGGCGCCTCCTCTACCCTCTCCTCTATACCTAGACTTAACTAACAAACTATAACAAATATATTTTGACACGAGCCAGGCACCGCCTACGACATGCTCCAGTTGATCCTGCAAAGTGAGTCGCACGGCACTTACGACGAAGCAGGAAGGGCGCAACCTTACGACAAGAAGACCTACCTCGCACTCTACCCCCACTGGCGCAACCCTGATGACAAGCTGGGTGTGGAAGAAGAAGAGGAGCTGGCGCGACGCGAAGCCGAAGAGCTTCGCCGGAAAAGAGAGGTCCAAGGCCGCGGCAATATGGCCTTTGGCGAATGGGGAGTAGAAGACGATGGCGCATGGGGAACTTCAGGTAGAGGAGGTTGATGAAATTCCGGCGGAGGATGGGGCGGCAATGGCGGCGGCACATGGGGCAACGCAGGGGGCCGATGGGGCACATCTGGCCACCGAGAAGAACAAAAAGGGGGAACAGAAGAAGAAACTACACCTACTGTTCCCCTCGGTCGCATCCGCGCCAACGAACACCACCACCCGTGGCCTCCCCCGAAAGACCTCATCGCGATCCATGGAACACCATCGATTGGGGATCTTAGCCTTCTACCCCACGTCGCTGTCAAACTATATATGTTATAGTTTATGTGTGTTATTCTAGGTGTCTTACATTTTGCCCTAGGTTCAGTTAGGGTTTCCCATATCCATCATTGTACTGCTTGTTTCTCAATCAATCCATTCGATAGTTACCGTTGTCACATGGTATATAGCTAGATCGATCCGTTGGGCCGACCGCCCCGTAGCCCGAAGTGCCCCGTAGCCCAAAGCGCCCCGTAGCCCGAGGCGCCTCGTACCTGTAGCGCCCGTGTAGCTCGCGCCCCCGTCCCCTCCCCGTCGCGCCCCCGTCCCCTCCCTGTAGCGGCCCCGTCCCCTCCCCGTCACGCCCCCGTCCCCTCCCCGTCACGCCCCTGTCACCTCCGTGTCGCCTCCCGTAGCCTCCCCGTCCCCTTCACGGTCGCGTCCGCGTCACCTCCCGTCGCCTCCCGTCCCCTTCCCGGCCGCGTCCGCGTCACCTCCCATCGCCTCCCGTCCCCTTCCCGGACGCGTCCCCGTCACCTCCGCGTCGCCTCCCGTCGCCTCCCCGTCCCCCTTTCCGTCACCTCCCCGTCCCCCTTCCCGTCGCCTCCGCGTCGCCTCCCTTTGCCTCCCCGTCCCCCCTTCCCGTCGCCTCCGCGTCGCCTCCTGTCGCCTCCCCGTCCCCTTTCCGCCGCATCCGCATCGCCTCCCGTCGACTCTCGGTCACCTCCCGCCGCCTGCACCCCTGAACGCACCCCATACAATCGCGCGCGCAGCCCGCACGCACGCGCTCAAGCAACCGCACGCACGCGCAGCTACACGCACGGACTGCTGCTCGCCCGTAGCCCGCAGCCAGCATCAGCGTAGGCCGCCACCAGCGAGCGCCAGCAGCCTACGCCACCGCCAGCGCACCAGCAGCAGCTTAGACTGCCGCCAGAAGCACGAGCAGCAGCTTAGGCTGTCGCCATCGCACCAGCAGCAGCTTATACTGCCGCGAGCACACCAGAAGCAGCTTAGGCTGCCCCTCAGCAAAACCAGCAGCAGCTTAGGCTGCCCCCAGCAGAACGAGCAGCAGCATAGGCTGCCGCCAGCACACCAGCAACAGCTTAGGCTGCCCCCAGCAGAACCACCCGCAGCTTAGGCTGCCCCCAGCAGAACCAGCAGCAGGTTAGGCTGCCCCTAGCAGAACCAGCAGCAGCATAGGCTGCCCCCAGCAGAACCAGCAACAGCATAGGCTGGCCCCAGCGCACCAGCAGCAGCTTAGGCTGCCCCCAGCAGAACCAGCAGTAGCATAGCCTGCCCCCAACGCACCAGCAGCAGCTTAGGCCACCGCCAGCGCACCAGCAGCAGCTTAGGCTGCCCCCAGCAAAACCAGCAGTAGCATAGGCTGCCCCCAACGCACCAGCAGCAACTTAGGCTGCCCCCAGCAGAACCACCCCCCGTTTCCAGCTCCTCACATGGCGTGTACTAGGGTTCTACAGCAGCAGGGCCAGCCGCAGCACTCCCGGCAGTGGGGACCTGCGGGTCTAAACTGTGGCGCCCCCAGCAGTGGCTCAGCTAGCAGTAGGCGAGACGTCGGCCCCTTCGGGTACCGGGCCCTGACAGGCCCTGGTGCTGGCACTACCTGCTGGAGTCCTGATCACTCAGCGTCCCACTGCTACCGTCGCCTCGATGACCTCCACCGTGAGCGTTTTGGTCCTCACGCTATAACACCGCACTGGCCCTCGCGTCTTCGCCAGCGCACTGCTGCACCAGTTGAGTCTCACCTACCTGGTCTAGGACCTTTCCCGGCTACACGAGTAGAGCCCTGTGTTTCCAGTCTTGGTGCGTGCGTAGTTTCCAGTCCAGGCGCCTCTTAGGGTCTTTGTGTGAGAGCTGCAGCTACCACTAGTCTAGCACCAGCCTTTGTCGCTGGCTCGGGTGCGACCTCACAGACTGCACAGCTTTCCTTCACCCTAGACTCTGGAGCGTCCAGCTGTTTCTTTCGTGACTGTACTGACCTCACGCCACTGCGCACTCCAGTCACTGTCGCCTTGGCTGACCCCTCCGTGGGACCTGTAGTTGCCCACAGCACCACCACTCTCCCGTGTCCGGCGGCTCCCTCTGCGTTACACTCCCTCGTTCTCCAGGAACCTGGTGGGTGTCAGTCACCTCCACGACCTAGGTGTAGTCACTACTTTCCCACTGCACGAGCCTGTTGCCTCCTGCACAGTCGGTGCCACTGGGGCGCCTCCAGCCACTTTCCACAGGGAGCCGGGCTTTGGTCAGTACTCAGTACACACTGGGTCCCACCACACTCGGTCAGGTCACGTTAGGTCAGGTCAGGTAGCTGCTGTGTCGTGCGACCGTCCGTCACTCACCCACCCGTCGGTCCTCTGGCACCACCGTCTAGGTCACCCGTCGTTCCCACGTCTCAGTAGGATGGTACGTCACCGTCTGGTCTCAGGTCTCCCAGAGTCGCTTGCCCCGCTTCCTCGCTCGCCTGCGCCGCTGCGCACTCCTTGCGTCGAGGGTCGGCAGCGTGCTGCCCCTCACTCCTCCTCGTTCCCCCCCACCACGGCTCCCTTCCAGACCCTGCACTTGGACATCTGGGGCCCCTCTCCGGTCCTTGGCCCACGTCAGGAGCGCTACTTCCTGATTGTGGTGGACGACTACTCCCGCTACACCACGGTTTTACCCTTGCGACGGAAGGCCGACGTGCCTACCGTCCTCGAGCCATGGCTACTAGCGAGGGGTGGCACCCAGGCCCTTTGTGGGTTCCGCTTGCACTCGGACCGTGGTGGTGAGTTTTCTTCCACTCGCCTGGAGACGTTCTGTCAGGGTCGGGGGATCATCCAGTCTTACACGCTACTAGCCTCGCCGCAGCAGAACGGGGTAGCAGAGCGACGCATCGGCCTGGTCATGGAGGTTGCACGGACCTCCATGTGCCATGCCGGTGTCCCCCCAGTTCCTGTGGCCTCAGACAGTCCGCTACGCCGCGCACCAGCTGAACCTGTGGCCTAGTGATGCACGGCCACGGGTGACGCCGGTCTCCCTTTGGACAGGTTCTCCGGGCATAGCAGCTGACTACCACGTCTGGGGTTCCCTGGCCCACGTTCGCGCCCCTGGCGCAAACAAGTTGTCTCCGCGCACCCGTGCCTGCATCTTTCTTGGCTTCCCACTCGACACCTCCGGCTGGCAGTTCTACGACCCGGTTACCTGCCAGTTCTTCGGTTCCCAGGACGTCACTTTCGACGAGTCGGTCAGTTACTACAGGAGTCGCCCCCACCGAGGTTCTGAGACCTTCTCCCCCCCGTTGTTTCTCACCACTGAGTCCCCCCCAGTCGCCCCGGTAGCCCCCCCCCCCCCCTTCGCGTCCTGCCCCGTCAAGTGTGTCGCACGTCACTCCGCAGTCGTCTCCCCTGCAACGTCCAGTCCCTGTCGTGTCTGGGGGTGCGGGAGGTGCAGCTGCGGAGGGTGTGGGTACTGGGGCTGCTGGAGCTCGTGGTGCCGGCTCTGGGTGCGCAGAGGGTGTGTGAGTGGAGACCACACCTGAGGAGGACACGGCTGTCTCGACTCAGAGGCCTCGCCCCGCCTTACCCCCTGGCTTCCCGTCTGTTTCGCAGTTCCCTCCTTGTTCGCCTCCGTGGCCGGTCGCTGCGGAGTCTGGGGGTGTTCCTGCCGGAGGTACTGGAGGCCCTGGGGGTGTTGTGGGTGGAGGTTCTGGTTCTGGGGTTGCTGGAGCCGGAGACACAAGCACTCTGATGCCTACACCGCGCACAGTACGTTTCCTGACCCGTGTGCAGCGTCTAGACAGGTTGGACAGGGAGGAGCGGGAGCAGTTTGAGATGGCACGGCAGCAGCACCACCAGCAGCAGCAGTAGTCTCAGTCGGAGCGTTAGGAGAGAGTAGAGGAGGAGTCCCAGCCGCAGCAGCAGGTGCAGTTGCAGCCACACCAGGAGAGAGTAGAGGAGGAGTCCTGGCTGCAGCAGCAGGTGCAGTTGCAGCCACACCAGGAGAGAGTAGAGGAGGAGTCCCGGCCGCAGCAGCAGGTGCAATTGCGACCGCAGCAGGAGAGGGTAGAGGAGTTACGGCCGCAGCAGCAGGTGCAGTTGCCGCCACACCAGGAGAGAGTGGAGGAGGGGTCCTGGCCGCAGCAGCAGGTGCAGTTGCGACCGCAGCAGGAGAGGGTAGAGGAGGAGTTACGGCCACATCAGCAGGTGCAGCTGCAGCCGCAGCAGGAGAGGGTAGAGAAGGAGTCACGGCCGCAGCAGCAGGTGCAATTGCAGCCGCCGCAGGAGAGAGTAGAGGAGGAGCCACACATGGAGCAGGAGGAGCAGCAGCAGGGGCAGGTGCCGCCGCAGCAGACGTCGGAGGAGGCGGAGCAGCAGCGACTGAGAGACCTGCCCGACCCGGCACCTGCACGCCTGGTCCGTGGTCCTCTACCGTCCCCTCCTGTTCCCCCTGTCGATTCCCTTGCCTCGTCCCCGTGGACTCGTCGTTCTCCCCTCGGTCGTGCTGTGTCTCCAGAGCCTCGTCGGTCTCGTTACCGTGCTGACGGTATGTTTCACCTTGTACTTCGTTCTCGTGTTCCACCTCCTCTAGTCCTTCCACAGCCTCCTGAGTCTTCGCTCACTGTGTTTCACGACCCGTTGTCCGACTACCTCCGTGCCTCCCGTCCTGTCGTCTCTCGTGTTCTGTCCGCGTTGGTCACTCACCCGACTGCCCCTCTGTCGTCTGTCTCAGATCTTGTTACCACTGTCGCTGGCTTAGCCTCTTCCCACCGTCTTGACTACGCCTCCCACCTGGTGAGCGGCACTGCTCGTTTTCCGTCCACTAGGGGTGTTCCTGTTTTTCCCCTGGAGGTCCTAGAGGACACGCAGTTCGAGCTTGGTTTCCTTGCGGCCGCTGTTCCTCATCTCTGCGCCATGTTGCTTGCCCCTGAGTTGGATCCAGACGCCCTTGATGGTGTCCTGCTGAAGCAGCTGACCTTATGAGAACCTTATGAGCGACTGACCTTGTGTGCTTTCTCCAACGAAGGAAGGTCAGATGGGAACTTGGCTACCTCTGGTAGCTTCGTCTCCAGCACCTGGCATGGGATGCACACACAGAAGGAGGAGTTTTGAGGCGCCTTAAAAGTCTTCTCCAACGAAGGAAGGTCAGATGGGAACTTGGCTGTCTCTGGCAGATCCGTCTCCAGCACCTGATATGCACACGCGGAAGGAGGCGGGAGGGAGAAAGGGAGGGAGAAAGGAGGGAGAAAGAGAGGAAGAAAGAGAGGGAGAAATGGAGGGAAACACACAAGCAGGAAAAGGGTTTTTGATTGAGGGGTCGCAAATTCTTGAGACAGGTCAAGTTTTCGGGGAGCTACAAGTAAAGCAGAAGGATTTCACAGCTAAATCGTGAAGGATTTTAGCTGTGAAATCCTTCTGCTTTACTTGTAGCTCCCCGAAAACTTGACCTGTCTCAAGAATTTGCGACCCCTCAATCAAAAACCCTTTTCCTGCTTGTGTGTTTCCCTCCATTTCTCCCTCTCTTTCTTCCTCTCTTTCTCCCTCCTTTCTCCCTCCCTTTCTCCCTCCCTTTCTCCCTCCCGCCTCCTTCCGCGTGTGCATATCAGGTGCTGGAGACGGAGCTGCCAGAGACAGCCAAGTTCCCATCTAACCTTCCTTCATTGGAGAAGACTTTTAAGGCGCCTCAAAACTCCTCCTTCTGTGTGTGCATCCCATGCCAGGTGCTGGAGACGAAGCTGCCAGAGGTAGCCAAGTTC